GACTCTGTGCACAGATCGAGGGTCAGCCCTGAGCATCACAGGGTATGGTACCAAAACAAACAGAAACTGTAAGAATACCCAGATTAATAGAAATGAAACGGCCGTCTTGGCTGGAGAGAGCCCCGTGTCTCGGCACTTGCCTTGCAGGCCACTGACCGTGTCGCCCCCCCCCCCCCCCCCGCCCCTATGGGCCCTGGGCACTGTCAGTCTTGAGGGCACAGCTGGAGCGACCCCGAGCACCCATGTGAACCCCCCTAAGAGACAGTTTTCTCTATTATTTTTTTAATTATTGAATCACCACGAATCACAAAGCCACCGAGTCGTTCACGACTGAGCTTCAGGCATGAGGCCGTCCGCACCGACCCTCCCCACGTGCCCACGCCCTGCCACCCCATGTGGACCTGTGGGCACGTGTGGCCTGGTCACTTGCTGCGTACACTTTTGTCTGCACCTCGGTCCTCGGTGAGCGCCCGAGCCTGCCCTGCCGGAGAGCCATTCGCTGTCCCCTGCCGCTCTCTGGCTCCTCTTTCTGGGCGGAAGGTGCCGGTTGGCAGATGCCAGGCAGAGCAGCCCGGGGCTCAGGGTTGCAACCCAGCCACGGCCGCAGCCTGCCGCTGTTTCCCCCGAACCTCGTTCCCCGCTGTGGTTTTCCTGCCGTGGCTCTCAGGCTCTGCTTCCCCATTTCCCGCGCGGCTCTGCCCCCAGGCCCGGTGCTGGCCGCCCTGTGCAGGGTCGCCGCTGGCCTTGCCCGTTCGCTGGTGACTTCCCACAGACAGGCGCCTGGTGCCCCTCCCCGGCTCCCTGTGTTTGGGCTGCGGTGGCCGAGCGTGCAGAGTGGCGCCCACGCGTGGGGGCCCCCTGCCACGCGCCCCGTGCCGCCCGCCCCCGCTCTGGACGCAACCCCCCACGCGCCACCTCCGCTGGGCTGCTCTGGTTCTCGCCGTGCCCTGCCCATCCGGCCGCAGAAGGAGGGCTCCGGATCCCACCATGGCCGGACACCCCTGGCCAGGAGTTGGCGCTGGCCAGCCCCTCTCCCCCTTGGTTCTGGGCCGCGGGGCATGGGGTGCTCGGCCCACGGAGGCTGAGCCCACAGGCCTGGGGCCAGCTCCAGGGTATCTGTGGGGTGGTGCTGCTCAGGGGCTGGCCTCCGCCCCCTCTGCGGTGCTGACCGCTGCCCGTTTGCTGGAGGCTCTGCAGGGCGCTGGCCAGCAGGAGAAGCGCCGCAGTCTCTGTCCTTGCTGGCGTGGCTTGCAGGCCGGGGCACACGGTGGCTGCAGGGCTTTGCTTGTTGAAACAGAAGGAACCAGTTCTCCTGGTTGCGAGGGTGGCACTCGCCAGCCCCAGGGGCCTCTGCTGCGCCCTTCTGCCTAGGGGAGGCTCCTTCTGCGCCGGCGGTGAGCCCCTCTCCCGGTCTGCGGACCCTCGGCCCACCGCTCTGTCTCTGTGGCCTTCTGGTCCCACCCCTGACCGCGGTGCTCTCCGGCCCCTGTGCTGTGGTTTAGTGGACGATCTTAAGGTTATATTTTCTCCGCGTATGTTACATTTCTTTACTTTTTAAAAGAAAATCATTATTATTTTTTTTTTTTTTGCTTTTGTGTTTGGGCCACACCTGGCCTTGCTCAGGACTCCTGTCGCCAGGAGGAGCGGGGCAAGGCTGGCGGGGCAGAGGGGTCAGGCCAGGGCTCCCAGGTGGAGCTCCTTGGGCTGCTTCCACGGTCAGTTTTGTTTCTCTGAAGCATTTGGGGCAGCCAGCGAGAGAGAGCGAGAGCGAGAGAGAGAGAGAGAGTTTGGGTTCTTGCCTTGCATGTAGCCGGCCCTGGTTTGATCCCAAACAAAAAAAAAGAAGGAAAAAAATACCTGAGGCCAGGTCAGGGGGCTGAGTGCTCACACACTGCGGCCCCCCGAGCCCTGCAGCAGGCCCCAGCCCGGGGAAGGGAGTTTGTGACCCTGGATCCAGACCCGCCGGGACACGTGTGTTTCCTGCCCTCCCGCGGGAGCAGAGGGTTCTCTGGGCTCCCAGGGGCGCCTGGCATTCCTCTGGCTCAGTGGAGTGGGCGCTTGCCCAGGTGCTGCGGCCGGCTCAGCCCCTGGGCCTGTCCCTCGGGTCCCACTGCCGTGCCTTGTCACTGTGGTTTCCACTTGACTTTTCCACGGTTTTTTTTTTTATTCTCCTTGATTTATTTCTTCCTCAATGCCACTTTCAGTCTGCGTAGATCTGAGTTCTGACCTTTTGCATTTCTGCTTCTCTCTGAATGTCTTAACATTTGTTGGTTACGTCTGTCATTTTTTTTTCCTTGATTAAGGAGTTTCTGTTTTTCTCTATTTCTGGAAAGTGGCGCTGGATGGAGAGTTCTAGGTTAGTGAGTTCTCCCTCCCTCCAGTAGCCGCGATGTTCCACCCTGTCTTGCTGCAATATCCAAGGCGTGACTTTCAAGCGTGCTGTGATTTTTACCTTTGTTCTTCTCTTTGTGGGAAATCAGTTTTTCCTCCTCTGATTTTATTCTGTTTTCTTGTCTTTGATTTCTGGAATTTGAATATTATTTTCCTATTTTTTTTTTTTGGAGGGGTGGTATTTAACTTGCCTGTTTGTTATTTTGGTCATTGTCACTGTCCTTCTGTTGTTCATCGATTTGCTTGAGCGGGCACCAGTAACGTCTCACAACAAATTGTGAGACTTGTTGTTAGTGTTTTTGGCATATTGAATACGTCACGGGTGGTTTGCCAGACTTTGTTCTGTGGGCCTGTAATTAGTTAAAATCCTCAGCCTTTTAACTGCAAGAAATTGTCCTCTTGTTCTTCTTGGTATTCTGCTTGGGTGTGACTCTCTGAAGTTGGATGTTTGCTTTCCCTTTTATTCTGTCGTCTGTTTGTGTCTCAGTTGATCCTGGCTGTGGGGTTCCGTGACTGCATCCTTCCTGTCGGTGCGCCCTTGGTGGTGTGAACTGTGGGGAGATGGAATCCAGGGCCTCCGGCACGTCCCGCAGACACCGACCACCGAGTTCTCACTCTCCGAGTATAGAGCCTGTGTGTCCGAGCACTCCTCCACGGACCACTAGAGCCCTCAGTCTCTGAGGATAGTACCTGCCTGTCCTTACCTCGCTCCCGCTCATTCTGAGAACTTTTACGTGTCTGCGTGGCGTTGCAGGAAAAGTCCTCAGAACGGGTGGACGTTTACGGAGTCCTAACCTACCCTGTGCAAGCATTGTGAGTTCTCTCTGAGGACTTTGGGGTCGCGCCAGGGGCGGGGAGACCCCTCAGGCCCCCGTTCCCTACCCTGGAGCACTGTGATTCCCTGTTGAGAAGCAGAGAGTGGTGCCAAGTGCTTCTGGGCGTGAGTCTCAGAACACGGTTACACGTGATCGGAGCCCAAGGACAGGCTGATTCTTGCCTCGCCTGCCCCTGGGGTGTGTTGTGATTTTTGGGGCCTTAGATGGGTCAGGCTCCAAGTAACAGGGGAGGGACTGGGACGCGGGACAGGGGCCTTGAGCTCAACCCTGGCACCACAGAACAGAAAAGAATTAGAAAGCGAGAGACAGAGACAGAAAGACAGAGAGAGACAGAGACAGAAAGACAGAGAGAGACAGAGACAGAAAGACAGAGAGAGACAGAGACAGAAAGACAGAGAGAGACAGAGGCAGAGGGGACGCGCTTGCAGGCCCCAGAGCTGGTGCTTTTGGGTGGGGAGGGGGCGGGGAGGCCTGCTCCCTGCAGGACGAGATGCTCCGTGAGAATGTGGGGGTCAGTCTGCTCGTCCTGGGGGTCCCCCGACTGGCCAGGGGTCAGGCCCCCGCCCGGGCTGTTTGCTGGAGCTGCGCCCAGTGTTGTTGCCCCCTGCCCTGCCCGGGCCTCCTGCTGCTCCCAGCTGCTGGCTCAGTGCTGCGGGGGGTGGGGGGAGGGGGCGGGGGGGGTCCCTCCAGGGGGTGGTTTCCTGCTCTGAGCTGGCCGGGAGTGGTCAGGCATTTCCAAGCTTGGTCCCGACCCCGTGGTCCAAGGCCCCCCTCTCCCGCTCCTGGGCGCCCACGTATGGACCCCAGCAGGAACCCCAGCGCAGATGAGCCGACTGGCCCGTCCCAGAAAACGCACCTTCCCGTCCCTACTCCAGGACGCCCGGTCAAAGCAAAATCCCGTCACTGCAAGAAGAGGGCCAAAGTGCTCACACAGTCAAGGGACAGGGTGGCCTTGTGGGAGAAGCAGGGGAGAGGGACGGACAGACACAGATAGACAGACACAGACACAGACAGACATGGACACAGACAGACACACACAGACACACACAGACACAGACAGACAGGCAGACAGACACAGGCAGACAGACACACAGACAGACACAGATAGACACAGACAGACACAGACAGACACAGACAGACAGCCACACAGACAGACACAGACAGACACAGACAGACAGGCAGACAGACACAGGCAGACAGACACAGGCAGACAGACACACAGACAGACACAGATAGACACAGACAGACACAGACAGACACAAATAGACACAGACACAGACAGACAGCCACACAGACAGACAGCCACACAGACAGCCACACAGACAGACACAGGCAGACAGACACAGACAGACAGATACAGACAGCCACACAGACAGACACAGACAGACACAAATAGACAGAGACACAGACAGACAAACAGTCAGAGACGGACAGTCACTCAGACACAGACAGGAGGCTCTGGTCAGCAGCTCCCCGCACCCGCCTTTGCTGGTTTCTGTGCCCTGTGACGGGAGGGGGGGGGGTGTTGTGTGCAATAAACATCAGTCGAAGGTCACAGTGTCTGTCTTTGACCAACATCAGCAGTTCCCATGGCACCGCCCTCGGCTCTGTGGCTCCTGTTCCCGCCTCAGTGGGCCTGGACCGTGGGGACACTGCGTGGCCGGTCTGGGCCCCTGCCTGCAGATTGGCGGGGGTGGGCCGTGGGCCGCTCGGCTTGGGGCTGGGGCGGGCAGCTGCCCGACTGAACTCAGCCCTGCCCCTTCTCTCCCGCAGGCCGCCTGGTAGGTGCTCTGGACGCTGTGCTGGACTCCAGTGCCCGGGTCGCTCCCTTCCGGATCCTGCTGCAGGTCCCAGGCTCCCCGCTCTACTCGCCCATAGCATGCGGTGAGTCCCCCGAGGGTCAGAGGCCGGGCCTGGCCCCGCCGGGTCCTCCCAGGCCTCGGGGTCACTGTGTGGGGTGCGTGCGGAGGAAACTCGCCCCTGTCGCTGCACGGCCGTGAGCGCGTCCCTCGGACTGGCCCTGCACGCCGTGGGGGCTGTGTCCCCCAGCGCCCGGCTGGAGATGACACGTGTGTTCTGGGTGCCTCGTGCGGACAGGACCCAGAGGCAGCAACCACCGTCCACCCCTCCCCACTGCCCCCAGCACCCTTCCCCTTGGTCACCTGAGACGCCCCTCCCATAAACAGAATGAGGGTGCCCCGTGATTGGGGATCCCTTGGGCCCCCGGGCAATGCGGCACCCCCCAGACGGCTTGCTCCCAGGCCTGCGTGAGGTGTCTTTGCCACTGTACAGCAGTGACTGTTGACCTGGCAGCAGTCAGATGCAGGTGGAAGGCGAGGAGAGGGCGGCAACCAGCCCCGGGCCCTCTGCCAGGCAGGGTGCACGAGGCCTCCCGTCTTGTCACTTTCGCCCTGGTGTCCCACAGGGCACGTGAGCTTCCAGCATTTTAAAGTCTATCCTCAGATTTCAATATCACTCACAATCTCGAATGACTTACGTCTCCGTGTGGTTTCAGCCACACCCGGTGATGCTCAGGACTTGCTCCCGGCTCCCCACTCGAGACTCCCTCCTGGCGGTGCTCAGGGGATCATGTGGGATGCGGGGGATCGAATCCTGGCCGGCCACATGCTAGACAAATGCCCGCCCCACTGTGGTATCTCTCTGGTCCCTTGATATGGGCTTTTAAAATGTTTTAAAAATCCCCAATGCAGTTTGTCTTTGTAAGCTAAGATCAATAAGCCTATATTTTCACGAAAGGATCAAGTTGCCAAGTGTTCATAGAAAGGAATCCGCAAACTAGAAATAGACAATGAGAAAAAGCGCTTTTGACCACATCCTGAGTGCCAGAATAGTCTCTGGCCACGCTGGGTTCAGGTCGCCCGGACAGCTTTGTAACACAGCTATTTTTTCCCTTATTGACGGTTGCAGAGCTGGGCAGGGAGCCCGGCCGCCACCGGCTCAGAGAGAGACCCCTGGTCCTTTGCAGAATAGTTCAGATGGCTCCAGGCGGCTGGGAATGTGTGTGGGCATACCGGTAGGGAAATCAGCTCTCTGGACAGCGTGACTTTATTGTGAACGGATTGCTTTTCTGGGACGGAGAGAGCGCGGGTGCTGGCCTGGGCCCTGGCTGTGCTGGGGCTCTGAGAGCACACTGTCCCCAAACACGGTGGCCCCAAACCCAGCCAGACCCAAAGTATTACATTTTTACTTGACTTCTATCAAAGAAGCTGCAGCGAGCACAAAGAAATGTTGTTTCAAGCGATGCCTTTCGTTCAAGGAAGACTGTTTTCTGGAAGGATTAATCAAGGTTAAGGGTCCAGGGTTCGGGAACTCTGAGGTTAACATTAGGACATTTAAACAGTGTTTCAGAGCTCGCTGGTTTGTGCTGCTCCCGGCTTGCCTCGGCTGACCTCGGATCACCCGTCTTCCCGACCGAGTGCAGTTGGCACGCATGATTGTAGCTTTGGCGTCCGAATACGTTCGTCACAGGAATTCCGTTTACCATCTTAGCGACTTTCAATATTTTCCAGCAACTTGCAGTCGGTATTGCAGTGATTGGTAGATAGAACCTTGGGGCGGGGGTAGCAGTTCCTTAAGCTTTGCGTCTTCTTGATGGATTTCTTTGGTAGTCAAAGGCTCAACGACCAGTATGTCATGTTTAAGGTTTGTTTGTTCTCTTTCTGACGTTTTTTCTGATTTGGGACCACACCAGGCTGTGCTCGGGGCTTAGTCTAGGCTCTGCGCTCAGGGATCACGCCTGGCGGGGCCCAGGGAACCGGATGGGGTGCTGGGGATGAAACCCAGTCAGCCACGAGCAAGGCAGGCATGCTGCATGTCGTCCTGTCTCGTGGGCGGGCCTGGCTTGTCCTTGTTTGGGGGCTCTCCCGTCAGTGCTCAGTGCTCCCAGAGTGTGGCGAGGGCAGGCCTGGGTCTCCCGCATGCACGCTGATGCCCCCAGCCCTCTCCCGCGCCCTCCTTAGCAGAGCGTGGTCCCAGAATCCAGCGTGCAGTTCCCCTTCTCGCCGCCGCCTCTGACCTCCCACCTTGGGTGGGCGCGTCTGTTCCGGAGCCTTCTCTGCCCTGTGCTGTGGGCGCCGGCCGCGCTCTCGCTCCTGCTCCTGCTGCCGCCTCTCTCCGCTTCGCTCTGGCCCGGGCTGGGAGAGAGCGCCCCGGCCCTCGCAGCCGGCGTGGCAGTCAGAAAACTGCAGGTGACTTGTCATCCCACCGGGGTGATGGTCTTCCTCGCGGAAAGACCATTCGCGGTCTTCAGAGACGGGGTTCGGCTCTCTCGTGCCGTGAGATCGTCCTGCCAAGCTTCCCGAGAAGTCGCTGTGCCCTTGCAGCAGGCACGCCGATTTCTTGGGTTGTTTCTGGAGATTTCTCGCTCACCGTCCGTCCAGGAGCTTCCAGAGGCACCTTCTGTTCTGCTGGCTGTTGGCTTCACAGCTCCTCCTCCGGTTGCTCCCGTCACCTTCTCATTTCTTGTTTTCTTTTTCTTTTGGGTCGCTCTCACCCCTCCGTTTTGGCCTCCCAGGGGCCCCTCCCGGCACCGTCTTGGTGCCTTTCCATGTGCACCCCCCACGAAACTCAGACCTTCCCTCTCCGTGCCCAAGAATCCTTCGAAGGTGTTTTCTCTGTGGCAGCGCGTTACTTTGATGCCCAGTTCACCGAGAGCCGTGAGCTCCCTTTCAGCCTCGGTCCCTCCTCCCGACATCGGCTGGGTGGAACTCCTTTCCCTCCCCGCCAGAACCTGTTGGGCCCCGTTCCCTCTGCCCCGCCTCTCGAGTGGGTGCCGGCTTCCCCATCCCGCCACCTGCCCGGAGAGTCGCCCCGATCCCCCTGCCCACGGTGCGGTGTGGCGCCTCCCCTCTCCCCGACAGTTGACATTCTGCTGTGTCCTGAGCGTTGAGGCGGGGTCCCGCCTAGTCTCAGATAAAGCCCAGACGCGACGAGCAGTGCCGCTGTGCCGCTGCGGCCCGGGAGTGGGGTGTGCCGTGGGGACAGCAGCCGGCACCATGGGTGGGCCAGGGTCGTCCACGGCCAGGAGGGTTCTGGCCTTGCCTCCCGCGTGGGCCCCCGAGCACCGCTGGCTGAGATCCACAGCTCCTGCCCCCCTGCTTGTTTTTTAATGAAATCTGGTCACCGAAGAGTCTTCCCTGGAGCCGTCTCTGAGGCTGTCGGGGCTGAGGCAGGCCCTTGGCCACGGAACCACAGAGTCTGGCCTGGGAAATGGGAAAGTGTGGCCGAAACTCCCGCCTCCTTCACGGGAGCGGTGCGCGTTTCACGCATCAGAACGTTCTGAATAGTCTTCGGGGATGGAGCTCACGGGAGCCGTGTGTTCCCGTCTCAGCAGTGCCCGCTGGGCCCGACACGGCTGAGCAGGCGGGCAGGGGACGAGGGAACCCACAGCCCTGGGCACCTCCCGTGTGGCACGAAGCAAGACTTGGCGAGCCTCACACCCCTCGGGGCAGGACGGCAGGGGTTCCTGACCATGCCTCCCACTGCAGGGTCCAGCTCAGCTTCTTCCAGAACATTCTTTCAGAGAACTCTTCCTGCCATGTCCCCTGGACTGTGGCCCAGCCTGGGGAGTGTCGGTCAGCACATCCCTGTTTACTCTGCCCCTGAGAGGGCTCACGGGAGGAAGTGCTCTGGGCGCATCAGATTAGGGCCCCCTCTGTGCCCGCCAGGCCTTTGTTGCTGGCCAGAACTCGCTGTGACTTCCAGGAAAGCCCCAGGGCAGCCCGGGAGGGCGGCAGGCCGTGCTCCAGGGCACACGCTGAGGGGTCAGGCAGTGGCCAGCACACTGAGTCATTTGTGCTTCGCCTTGAACAATAGCCGCGGGCATTTCCCACGTGTGCTCTGCTCTTGGGAGTGGCCGGTTTCTCGTCTGTTTGGGAACCTCGTAACTAGGCGCTTTCTCTTCGCGATGGAGGCATTTTGCTCATGCCACAAAGCCACTGAGGATAATGTTCTATCAAGAATGCTGCTTCTACAACAAAAAGGGAGACTAACACCCAGGAGTGGCTGAGATTAGTACCAGGAATTTTGCTCCATGACTTGAAGGCCAGCCACACGTGCTAGGGGAAAAGGAAGCTCAGATAGAGAAGAGAGCACCAAATAAAGGGTGTTGGGAGGACCCTCCCAGGGTGGGAGAAGCATGCGGAAAGTAGACTATGGACCAGACATGATTGCCACTCAAAGCCTCTCTTGCAAACCACAGGACCCAAAAGGAGAGAGAGAGAACAAGGGGGAATACCCTGCCACAGAGGCAGGGTAGGACGGGGGGGATGGGGGGTGGGGGGGATGCTGGGACCCGTGGTGATGGATGACGGGCACTGGTGGAGGGATGGGCACTTGATCATTGTATAACTGAAACCCAAGCACAAAAGTTTATAAGTCTATAACTGTACCTCATGGTGTTTCACTAATAAAAAAAAAAATTAAAAAAAACAGCTAAAAAAAAAGAAAAAAAAAAGAATGTTGCTTCTAGTTGCCATTATCTCACATAGTTTGTACTTTAAGGGTTTTACAGATACTAGATAGCTGCTTCTGTAGCTGCACGGGCGACTCTTAGCAAACTCGGAGATCAGGGCTAGAGCCACAGCATCGCGCATGGCAGGTGGGGCGTTTGCCTTGCACGTGGCTGACCCAGGTCTGATCCCGGCATCCAGTACGGTTCCTTGAGCACCGCCAGGAGTAATTCCCACTGGATGTGACCCAAAAAGCAACAGCAAAACAAAACACACCCTCGGAGGTCAGAGTTCTCTGCTTTAAGATGCCTTTAAGCCGTGGCCCCGAGGCTGCCGACTCTCCCTCCAGCCTGCTTCTCCTCTAACTTAAGGCCCGGCTTGTTTTCACCCAAGACATATCTAGAATAAATCTAC